GAAGTGACTACAAAGAGCCACAAACACAAATTTAAAACAGAAATAGACTTTCTGGAAATGAAAACAATGTAATACCTAACACTGAAAGCTAAAAAGTAAAATTTAATTAGAACAGATCTGGCTGAAGAGCGAATCACTGAACGGAAATAATTCATGAAGTTATTTAAAATACATCCTTGAGAAACCGAGAGGTAGAAAATATTTTTAAAATATCAACAAACATGGAGGAGAGACTGAGTAATTGGAATAATAAAAGGAGATATTAGAATGAATGGGGAGAGGCAATATTTGAAGAGATAATGCTTGAAAAATTTCCAGATTTGTGTAAAACCAACTATTCAGGTTGAGGGAGTCTAATGAAAAGGATGTGAAACTGAAGGTGTCCCAGATCACAGAAAGAATGGTACGCTAGTGTATAGATACATCTAAACAAATATTCATTGCAAAAATAACAACAAAATAATGGCTAACAGAAATGAAACAGTTCAGAATTTTCTAAACTAGACAGCAATATCAAAATATAATCTTTTAAAATATGAAAGCAAAGATGGTGAATAACTTTTGATATTGTTCATTTCGTTAAGAATGCATGTTGAATAGCTAGTATAACAAATAAAAAATAGATTCAGGTAATACAACTTCCAGATAAGTAAAGGGGAAAGAATGAAATGAGAAAAGGAGAAAAAGATAAATTCAAAAGATAGCAAGAAAGAAGAGAAAAAATGACTAAAAAGTGCAGGATAAATGGAAAGGATATAATAAAATGGAAGAAATAAATCCAATTATATACATAATCACAAAAAAAATAAGTAAAAATATAAGTAAATCAAACTCTCCAGTTAAGGACAAGAGTGTGCGAATAGGGTTTTAAAGATTTAGTTCTATGTTGTTTATAAGTAATACATTAACTCAAAGGACACAAAAATATTGAAAGTTAGAAAAAATAAAAAATATGTACTAGGCCAATACTAATTTTTAAAAAGTTACTGTAGCTACATTCATGGACAAATTAACTTTAAGGAGAAAATAATTTTGAGAGAACAAGAGGGTCACTCGCAATGCTATACCGATTTTGACACCACAGGTGTGACATCACAATTCTAAACTTGTATGTTCCTAATAATATAATAGCCTAAAAAGTATTTAATATAAAAATTCGACAGAACTACAGGGAGAAGATCACACATCCACCATTGTAGTGGTAGATATTTAACTCTCAGTAATTGGTAGATCACAATGGCAAAAAATATCAAGGTTATAGATGAGTTGAACAACACATTTAACATAATCTGTTGACATATATGCAATATTTCATGTAGCAAAAGCAGAATATACAAACTTTTCAAATACATATGGAATATATATATAATAAAAATGATCATCACATGCAAGGCCATAAGGCCAACTTTGTATTTGAAAGGACAGGCACCAAACAAACCGTATTTCCTGACCACAGTGCAATTAAATTAGGTATTGACAACAAAAGGAACTAGAAACACCTGTATTTTGGGAAATTAAAGAAAAGCACCTCTTATAAATAATTCATGGTTGAAATCATATTCATATTGGAAATTAAAATGTATTCTAAACTGAAAAATTACAGAATTCTACTAGTGGGATACAACCCAAGCAGCACTTGGAAGGAAGCAGAAAGACTTGATAGTCTTATAAGCATTACAGGAATTGAATTAGTTGTTTTAAAATATACCATATAAAATATGAGGCATATTCTAATAAACGTTTATATAGTTCTGTAGAGAATAAAAGTAAACACTCTCTAATCCATTCTGTGAAACTAGCATAATCATGAGGCTTAAGCTGTATACAAATGAAGAAATATGGACTAGCTCTCCCTATGAAAAAGGTTGCAAAAATCATAAACTTAATATGAATGTTTTACCACTCAAAGGTTAGTTTGTGTACCTGCAACACAGGCAGCACCCAGGAGCTTTTTAAAAACTGCAGATTCTTGGACTTCAGCCCAGACCTACTTAATCAGAATTTTAACTTTTTCAACATCTACAGGATATCCTTATGTACATTATAGTATGTGAAGCTTTGTACTAGGAAACTAAACTCAGAGATGTATTAAAGTACATATCACTAAGTTAAGTTTACTCAAAAGTACAAAGCTGGTTTACTACTATAAGGCAATTTATCACATTAGAGATTAAAGGAGAAAACCTTATGATTATCTTAACAGATTCAGAGTATTGAGTAAAATTTAACATCTATTAATAATTTTGAAAAAGAGCTCCAAGCAAACTAAGAATAATAGAAATTATATTCTTATATTACCACTCTCTTTTCAGCTACATTGATTCTATTCTTTCTGCCTCTCTTTAAATATCACACTGCTTGAATTATGTTCGTGCTATTGGAAGAGAAACAGAAAATCAGAATGTAATTTATGTTTATTACGGTATTTCAAATGAGTAGATCAAAGGTGGACTTAGTGTATAGTGTTGAAATTGGTTACTATTTAGAAAAATTAAAATGAGATATCTCCTAGATATATTTTTAAAAACTTCAGATCAATAGAAATTACACATTTAAAAAAACGATAAAAGTATTAGAAGACAATATAAGACAACACATTTAACATAATCTGTTGACATATATGCAATATTACATTTTTATAATCTTTGGTTGAGGAAAGCCAATAGAAAACATAAAAATCTGCAAATATAAAATGAAAACTATAAACATATTTTACTACAAAAGTTTAGCATTTATGTGTGACAAAACATATCAATTAAAAGGCAAATAGACATGTAGAATTTATATTTAGAATATAATGAAATTTCCACTAATCAATGAGAAAATAGAAAGTGTCCAAAATAAAAATAGAAAGTGACTAAATTATATGACCACATAGTTGAAAAACAAAACAAACACAAACAAGATGTATGGTACAAATATGAACAATTGCTCAAATTACTAATTTAAAAGGTAGAAATTAAAACAATGATAAAACTTTTTTTTATTCTATCAAATTGGCAAAAATGTAAAAGGTTGTTACATTCAGTATGGACAGAAATGTGAGAAAACCGGCACCCTCAAATTTTGTTAGATGAGCTTATAAACTGATAATGCCTTAATAGGATGTCCACTTTTAGGCCAATATGTTCATATTTATGCATAGCAGCATCAACATAAAGATATCTGTTGTAACACTTTTGTAGCAGAAGAGAAAATGAATTTAACCCATTGTCCCTCAACAGGGTCATGGCAAAGCAAATTATGAGTCCTACATACTCCTACATATCGTGAAATTCTATGTATCTGTTTAAAATGTTGGCTAATAAATATTGATGTGGAAAGTACTCCAAGACAGATTGCTAAGTTAAAAAAAGCAAATAACAGAAACACGCAATTTTTATATCCATTTAAAAAGTACATGTGCATATATGAATTTAAATGCATAGACAAACACCAGCAGGATCACACCAAACAGTTAACAGTGGTTATTTCTAAAAAGGGAAGTATATTGATGTTGGGGAAGTGAGGAGAAAAATGTAATGGAGTACTTCCACATTTTACTCAGCATGCTTCTCTATAATTAGAGCATCTACATAATTTACCATCCAAACCAGAAAAATTTGGAGTAAAAATACATGCTGTTAATCGCTCTGGGACAACAGACATGAATTAGAACTGGTCTGGGCAAGTGAGGTATATGGTCACATTATTTATAGTGAGAATATATTCATGATTTTATTGTTGCATTTTTAAAATCGGTGACGCCTTGCCAACCACTGTCTAGAGTTAAGATTAGCAAACCACCTTGGACTGGACTTTTATAATTATGAGAAACAGGGCTTGTGTAGCCTTTTCTATATTTTAGCTTGAGGCCGCTAAGTATCTCTCCCCCTGTGGCTTAGCAAACATTTTTTTTTTTTTTTTTAACATGGTATATAGAGCTCTGAGGATGAAACAGACTAGTTTGTACAAAGAGCTCAGGACCTTCAGGGAGCGAAGAGCACCTAACCCATTTCCTCTAGATTTGAACTTGGTAACTGTTTCCTGTTGTCTCTGGCATAACCCTGATCGAGATCCTGGCAAGCAAGAACTCACCCTGAAGTACAGGGGGTGTTGGGTCTAGGCTGTTGACCTAAGCTTAATACAAGTACGTGTTCCACAGAGACTGGTTCTAGTGTAGGCTGCAGTGGAAGCCATCAGCTTTTCTGGTACTGACCAACCTGGCACAGTTTCATGCCTTGAGATTCAGAGTCAGACACCTGAGGATGAACTAGTAGAGCTGTTAACGCTGGAATCCTGGCTAAGGTACCACAGGCAGTGATTGTGAACTGATTGGATGTACCCATATGTGCCCATCCACTGTACCTTGAAGTATAACTGACCATTCTGAACTGAGTAAGTGTTTGAGATTCTTAGACAGTGGGGGGTGAAGGTGGGGAGAAAGACTTTAGGAGGGAGAAACTGGACTTGCTGCTAATAAAGGCAGTCGTGGTCTTGAGCAATGAATTTATATCTTGAACATGTCAAATACAGATTATACTTTTAAAAATGACCACCAAGCAAGGCAATTTGACTCAAGCCTGTAATCCCAATACTTTGGGAGGCTGAGGCAGGAGAATTGCCTGAGTCCAGGAGTTCAATACCAGTCTGTCGCTATAAATAATACAAAATATTGGCTGGGTGTGGTGGCTTATGCCTGTGGGAGCTACTGGGGAGATTGAGGTGGGAAGAGCACTTGAGCCCAGGGGGTCAAGGCTGCAGTGAGCCAAGATTGCACTACTGCATTCCAGGCTGGGTGACAGAGCAAGACCCTATCTCCAAATAAATAAATACGTAAATAAAGATCAGCCACATGTCATCCCCTGTGAACCTGTGCTGGTTATTGTAGTTGATATAGGCATTAAGAAAACATTAAGAAAGAGAAAAAGGAAGTGGACCAAGGGGTGGAAGGAATTTGGAGTAAAGAAAACAGGAGCCAGAGGTGAGGGAGGGTTGGCGGTACAGCGCGCTGTACTCACGGGGCTGGTGAGCATTCCAGTGTGTGTACTGCACCGGCTCGGGTTTCCGCCCTGCTGGCTTCCAAGTGTATTCTCCTGTATCATTTTGGTCTTGAAGAGCTATCCAAAAATAACTGTCCTTTGTTTTTACCATACTACTGATCAAACTGGTAATAAAAGCCTGTTCAAACCTTAAAAGGGGAAAACAGAAGTGGTTATATTAAGTTTCTGGGCAATAAAAAATGACATCAAAACATAATGAAGTGCATAGAATGGCCCCAGGGTAAGCCTTTCTCATTAATTATTTAGGACATGGAGCAGAAAAACACCCAAAGACCCTGAACATTACTAATAAATGCCAAATGTGACTGCAATTCCCAGAAATACATGAGTGAGGAGAATATGACTCCTGCATATGGGGCTTAATTCTTCCAGCTCCAGTTTCAAAGCATAGGTGGTAAAGTTCACATGGCCAAATGCATTTCTTAGAGTGCCATGTGAGCTGTTTTGTGATTAGGCCACACATCACACAAACCATGCCACAATATGCATGGGGTAAGGGTGGGTCGGAGGGAGGAGGAAAGATATTATGCTTTTATGAATGAGCATTTACTAATAGAAAGTTCACATGCACCCGCCTACCACACTTGCCTGGGGAGAAAGAAACAGAAATTAAAGTAGCAATTTTGTGTCTCCCAAATCAGTGTGTTCTTAGCACAGGTAGGCCTCAGCTTATTCAAATGTGTTTAAATCTGCATTTTCACTGAAGAAAAATGTAAAAGCCTAGGAACGAATCTAAGATAGTACATCCACTAATCTATTTCCCAAACAGCTGAATGAATTACTGTTCAATGGTTGGTGACAGTGCCCCCTTTCCAGTATGTGTCAAAAGCAGGATCTAGAAAACTGTCATACATGCTTCAACATGCACACCTACTAAGGAAAACATGACTATTAAAATTTAACTAGCATTGAACCTCTCAGCTAAATTGAAACTATCTTGAAAAAGCTATTTTTAGAACATATAAAGTTAGAAGAAACACATTTGAAACAGTAGTGACTTCTGGGCATATCTGCTGAGACAATGGGAAATAAAAGGCTGAAGCCATTACCCAGGAAACCTAATGAGAAGGCAAATTAGACCTTTTCATTCAATTTTGGTGGTTTTTTCCATTACCGTGCATCCTTAACTTGCTAAAGGAAGCAAATGCAATGGTGTCATTTATGAATAGAGGAGCCTCAATGGAAATAGAAGATAAAAAGAGAAAAGAATAAAAAGAAGTAAAAATTTTAAGTGCCTTACAGATATTATTAGCAACATTTAGAGATCTTAGGCATCTATGGTACTCATCTTTGCAGGGAATATGAATTTTCATCATGCTTTAGAAAATATTTTCTGCCGATACTCTATTAATAATCTAAATAGAACACATTTGAAATAAGAAAAGTTCTTTTTTATCCAGATCATACCGGTAGAATCTTACATAAATGTGCTTCAAAAGGAAGGTATAGAAGACTAAATATTGCCTACATGCTGTTGTAAGTTTCCTTACACTTCTGTTGGTTCATGCTCTCAGTAATACACTGTCTGCTTTTCTCTACCTCCTCGGAGGCAGAGTAGTAACACAGGAGGGGTAATACAGAAGTGCTGGGAGGAGAAGGACGGGGTCCCTGGTTAGGGCTCCATCCCTGGATTGTGCCCACGGACTTAGGTAGGACAAGCTTTTCTGTTTTCCTGCACAAATGTTGCATTTCCCAAGACCACCCTGGCCCGCCCCCATCCTGTGCCCATAACCCCCACCCAGACCCTAGCGGGAAGAGTGACAAGCGGCAGAGGAACACACAGGTGGACGAGCACACGACAGGCACCAGCAGATGCTGGCAGGCAGTCGACGGGAAGAACGACGTGGGAATTTGGCCAGGGCGTGGGAGGAGAGCCCGCCGCTGGGCGCCCGACTCAAGGGAAATAGCACCTTCCGGCTCCATCCCGCTGCTGGCCTCCCCATCCTCCTCCCTGAGAGCTACCACCAAGCAACAAAAAACCCTGCACCCATTCTCCCAGCCCACGTGTAATCTGATTTTTTCCGGTACACCAAGGCAAGACCCCGGAATACAGAAAACCCTCTCTGTCCTTGCCAGGAGCCACCTACACCTACGGACGGCTAAACTGAAAGAGCACACTGTAACACACGCCCATTGGGGCTTCAGGACTTGTAAACACTCAACCCTAGATGCCGCTGTGGGGTCGGAGCCCACAGCCTGCCCTTCTGCATGCTCCCCCTAGGAGCTGGAGCAGCGGGGCACAGAAAAAGCGAGCCACAGCCCCATTACACGCCCTGCAATGGGGATAGATAGCCAGGATCCCCACTTCATCCTGAAATTGATGTGTTAGAGATCAGCGAGATGCTGCCCCACAGGTGCTACTGCCAGGACAACTGTTTTCGGTGCAGGTTCTATACTCGGGGCCATTTTTGGCTCTTCCATTAGGTTCTATGATGGCATTTATGAGATAATGCAGGGAAGTTATGTTATCTATAAACTTGGCCTTGAGTATTGTATTATTATTATTTTTTACCCCATTAATTGTAGATTTATTTAGTCCACTCCAATTGGATATTTTATCTCCATTTATCATTGCTTAAAACAATAGAAACCTGCTTTTTAAATTGGTAAGTGTATCTTTAGTCACATATAATACTCATGCATCAAAGCCTAACGCCTTCTAATCAAGATAGAATTCTAATTTTCCTAGTCCAATGTAGAAGATGGCCTGTTAGGAAAGAATTTCAGCAAACATGTGTGTCTTCTAAAGAATATATTGTAAAAAACCTAAGTCTGGATAACGGCATGAAATCTCTTGAGTGTCTGTTTCCAACTTGCAAAGAAGCAGAAGGACATTTTACATCCTTTTTTTGGAGACAGGATCTCACTCTGTCACCCAGGCTGGAGTGCAGTGGTGCGATCTCAGCTCACTCCAGCCTTAACCTTCTGGGCTGAAGTGATCCTCCCACTTCAGCCTCCCAAGTAACTAGGACTACAGGCACACACCACCATATCCGGCTTGTTTTTTATTTTTTGTAGAGACAGGGTCTCACTATGTTGCCCAGACAGGTCTCAAACTCCCAGGCACAAGTGATCCTCCTGTCTTGGCCTCCCAAAGTACTGGGATTATAGGCGTAAGCCACCCAGCCTGACCTAATTTTATATTCTTTACCACTCTGTATTTGGTTTCAAACACTAAAAGTGTTATGAAACTCTGTATTACAGTGATACAGCAAATGACCTTTCAAAGTCTTTTCTGGCCCTGTGTTTTAGAATTATTCATAAGAGAATATTCTAGAGTTTTATAATATCTAGCCTTTTTGTCTGGTTTCACTGAGGTTGTTTAATTCAAATGTTATGACTTGAGGAACCAAAAATAGCCATATGCACATTTTTTTTTTTTTCAGGGTCTTGCTCTGTCTCCCAGGCTGGAATTCAGTGGCATGATCTTGGCTCACTGCAACCTCCCCCTCCCAGGTTCAAGTGATTCTCCTGCCTCAGCCTCTTGAGTAGCTGGGATTACAGGTGTGCGCCACCATTCCCGGCTAATTTTTTATTTTTAGTAGAGATGGGTTTTCACCATGTTGGCCAGGCTGATCTCTAACTCACTCCTGACTTTGTGATCCGCCTGCCTCAAAGTGCTGGGATACAGGTGTGAGACACCAAGTCTGGCACTGCTTTTTATATTATAATTTGATCCAGAATAGCATGCTATCTCTAAGAGATTCAGTAAAGTAATAATTGTTTGTTATTCTTTAAAGAAAACAAATGATAAAATATTTGTTTATGTGTACTTACCTAGAAAATCAAACTTTATAGGGAAATAATTCCTTTTTTTTCTGCTTCCTGGGTTCAAGCAATTCTCCTGCCTCAGCCTCCCGAGTAGTTGGGACTACAGGCATGTGACACCACACCCAGCTAATTTTTTTTTTTTTCGTATTTTTAGTAAGATGGGGTTTCACCATGTTGGCCAGGATGGTCTCAATCTCCTGACCTCCTGATCCACCCACCTTGGCCTCCCAGAGTGCTGGGATTATAGGCATGAGCCACCACGCCCGGCCAGGGGAATAATTCTTAAATATTAGAATCAGAAAGAAATCAACTCTTAAAAAAGTTAAGAAATCAAGAGTGTTTTTTTTTAGTGTAAACAAGAAAAACACAGCTTAAACTTTTCTGAGTCTGATAAAAATATTTGCTTATGTTGATGCACATTAAATTTTAATTTAAAAATTCCAATTGAAGATGGCAATACATGTTTTTAGCATGCATTGACAATTTTTTTCATTTCAGAATAAACGTTTTGTATTTCAAAAAGTGCACACTTTAAAAGGAGGTATTTTATACTAATCTCTAATTGAACATTGTATTTCTTCATCAGGTGAGCAAGTGATGCATGTAGCTAAAAAGAAAAGACTTTTTTGTCTTTGATCAACATAATATTTAGCAGTCAACAAAAATGACTGTGCATTTGTATTATCTAAAACAAGGGATTGAAAAAAGTAATGCATTGGAAGTAGCTTCCCTAGAGCTATTTCAATTTTAAAAATAGTAGCAGTCTTTATATAACATGAGAAATTTGGGAGATCTCTTCAGGGAGGACTCAGTTTTGAACTAAATAACTGCCAATTGGATTTCTCCCAATGATACAATTGCTAATTTTTTTTTGAGACAGAGTGTTGTTCTGTCACCAAGCTGGAGTGCAGTGGCGTGATCTCTACTCACTGCAACCTCCGCCTCCCAGGTTCCAGTAATTCCTCTGCCTCCGCCTCCTGAGTAGCTGGTATTACAGGTGCCTGCCACCATGCCAGGCTAGTTTTTTGCATGTTAGTAGACTCCCGGCTAATATACTTTTTTTAATTTTTTTTTTTTTTTTTTTTTTAGCACGTTGGCCAAGTTTTCAGCATGTTGGTCAAGATGGTCTCAATCTCCTGACCTTGTGATCCACCCGCCTCAGCCTCCCAAAGAGTTGGGATTACATGCGTGAGCCACCGTGCCTGGCCAATTGTTAATATTTCTGATGCCATTTTCAAATAACAACTTTGTTGCTGAACTAATATAAAAATAATCAATTTCTTTTTCTTTTAAATAAAGAATGGAAATAGAGTATCAGTACTTTTTAAGTGGTAGATACACATTGTGACCATTTTGG